AACAGATATGCACATATACAAATAAACAAAACCTGACATATCCACAGAAATAATCAAACTCACAAGAGCTAGGGATTTGGGTTTGTTTGTTTTTTTTAAAGACCAAAGCAAACAATACATTGTTGGTCGATTTCTGGGTTACGTGAGCAAGAAGATGGAGGACTAGACATATTTTCTTATGTCCATGACCTTTCAAACCTCTCCAAAACAGGAACAGAAATTATATACCGAAGATTGTCAGTTGTCTCCATGGTTTAGAATACCAAGAATCCAAAATAAGGTTAAAAAAAAAAACCCAACAATCCATGAACTGTCATTGACCTTAAGCTGACTCAAAACACTTCATCCCCTTCCCATGCTACTGACAGTGTGGCTGCACCAGCAGACCCAAGGACCTGACACAAAGTTGAGACTTGTAACAAAATCCAACCCTACAATCTGATACCCCTTCCCTCTTTCCAGTACCATAGAAAGCCCAGCTCCAGGCTGTAGAAGCTTGCCGAGCCACTGACAGACAGCCAGTATAGCAGGCAGCAGCCCTTTAGGAGCAAAAGCCTGCTGGGAGCCAGAACTCTGCAGCATCAGTTTAGCGGTTCTGCTGGTGCTATGCTGGGACAGAAAACTACGTAGCACCAGTGCTGCAAAGTTGTAAACTTCAGCTTCAGAAGCAAACAGCCCCCCAGCCTGAGCTCAGAGAGAGCAGGACAGGATACTAGAACCTGGACACTGTGTGTGTGTGTGTGTGTGTGTGTGTGTGTGTGTGTGTGTAAGGGAATTGTGTGCAAAATGAGCACAACATCCAACTAGGGTGAGTTCCAACTAACTAAAAGTTACTTGGATCAGAGATCTATGCTGGTGAACCATGAATTGCCCAACATGGGAGGAGACTGAAATGCTTTAAGATCTAGCCTCCAAGGGAAACACCATTAGAGAGGACAGAGTCAGAAAGTGAATAAGAGAAAATTGGAGGGAAAAAAGACTGAAATTATCAAAAATCTCAGGAAGAAGAAAACTCAAAGGTCTTGACTGCGAGCAGATAAATCAGCAGGGAAAACATTTACAACAGAAGGAAATATGGCTGCAAACCAAAGGAAAATGATACAACCTTAGTCAGTTAGAGGACCTGTGAAATGTAAGGAGAACATGGAATTACAACACGCTATTCTTGATTTGGCAATAGAGAGATTTTTTTTCTAATCCTTTTGTATCTTACCCGCCTTCTAATAATTTATGAATCAGTCCTTCAATGCCATCCCAATTATATCACTTCTAGCATGGATCTCCTTTATTTACATTGGATTTGCTGGTATAATCCAGCTTTTTCTTTCTTTCTTTTTTTTTTTGTTTGTTTGCTTGTTTTCTTTGGTATCACTTCCATGTCCCTTATAAGCACATGTGGGACTGTGATATTTGAATTCAAGTATGATGGTTCCATTGTCCTTGATGGTGAAGATGGTTGTGTGTAAAAATAATTGCAGATCTTTTCCATTTTTTTCAAAGAAAATATTTATGGCGTGTAAGCATGAGGCTTCTGTGAAATGCATGGGTGGGAGGGAAATGTACAATAAGCAGCAGGGAAAGAAATGTCTTCCTGGTTGTTCATTGGATCATCATACTGGTGACTTCCTACTTTAATCTTCCCAGTGAATCAATGGCATTCTAATGGTGCAAGTGTAGTGCTGCCTGAGCATACTCCTGGGGAAAGGAGGATTCTAAAAGAGGCTTCATTAGCAAATATGTCTTGTTGATTCAACCTGCATGTCATTTTTGGCATCTGGCCCCTTCTCTCCTTGCACCAAGCTACCCACTCTAATTTAAGCCCTCATTAACTGGTCTATTACAATGCCCTACTATTTGATCATCTTGCATCTACCCCTTTCCAATTCATCCATCCAAACAGATATTCCTAAAGCACATATCTGATCATGTCACTCCCCTGCTTCTGAAGGTTCCATGGCCCTCTATTGCCTTCCTGCATTGCTGGAGGCAAGAAACTATTCTGTTTGGTATTTAAAGCCTTTCACAATTTTGTTTTAGCCTGCTACACATTACTTCCCTAACTTTCTCTAGATTTGGTCAAACTGTTCAAATTGTTTTTTCCTGTTTACTACATTCTGTCTCTCATATTTCCATTTATTTGCATAGACTTGTTCCTGTAGCTGCGGTGTTTGCCATACCTCTGCTTAGTTTCCTTAAAGGGTCAGCTTCAATAACACCTTCCACACAAGGTCCATTCTTTCTGCTACCACCTTCCCCCGTACTCCTCTCCTCTGCCCCTAGAAATGATTTCATATTCATTTCATATAGATTTCATGTTCCCTTGTCTGTTTATGTGTTCTTTCCCTTTCATAGAATGTAAGGTCCCTGATGGCAAGGACTGTTTTGTTTTTGACTTTGTAAAATACCCTCCTACCCCTATGCCACACTTATCAGAATGCATGGCACATGGTAGATACTTTTAAAAGCTTGCTGAATGAATGACACTGTGTGATTCAGTGGATGGGGAACTGTTTTTGGAGTGTTTCTGAGTTCAAATCCTGCCTCTAACTTTGTATGTCAGCTTGGGCAGACCGCTTAACCTTTCAGTTTCTGTAAAATGGATGGCTTGGGCTAGGTGGCCTCAGGTTTCTTCACATTCCAAATTGTGATCTCATAAATGACTGAAGCAGCAGACACTGCAGGGACCAGATTTCCTCCCTCTAAATACAGTCACCAACTTAGAATAACTTCACAGAGCAGTTGGGAAGAATCCAGTTGGATCATGAGCAAATTCTTCCTCACCCCCAACACTGCCCCACCCCAGTTTTGCTTTATATAGTATCAGCTCCACTCTTTCTGAGTGAGGGCAGCAGCTGATCCAAATGTCAGGGATTGATTTCCAATCAAACACATGCTTAATCACTTTTTCAGAGCCCTACACCTTTGGGGATCATTTAAACTTGTTGTTTTTTTGGGTTTTTTTTAAGCTAGTCTACTTGTTCTAGTATAGGATGAGTCCAGACCTACAGTCGGATGGTCCTATGTATCCCTTGGGAAGTTTTTTTTGTTCCAGTTTATTTTTAACTTTTATTTTATTTTTCTTTCTTTTCTAATTTTCTTTGGGTTTAGCTAGGCCTTAATAAGCACCAAAGCTGGTAGGAGTTAGAGGAACTTTTGTAACATTTTGTTTGCATGTCGAATCTGTATTACTATGTATTTGGGGGTGAGTACAAGCATTTGGACTCTCAGAAAGGCTGTTAACTTTGGAAGTATCCAAGAACTTCAAGGATGTTATTGAGATTCAGAACCAGTGACTGTGGAAGACCATTAAGAAGTGTAACTAAGAGACAGCTTCTAGAATCATCCTAAGTCACCAAAGAGCTATTGAGAATTGTTGATAGGGACTGATGCTCCTCAAAGCACTTCAGTTGTATACACTGGAACATCATCATCATTGTCATCATCATCACTAGCATTAATATAGTGCTCTAAGGTTTGCAAAGCACTTTAAAATATTTTTATTAATTTTGTTGTTTTTTATATCATCAAAGTTTTCCCCAGTTTGCCTCCCCTCTCCCTCCCAGAGAGCCAGCCCATATAACAAATAGTATTTTTTACAGACAAAAAAAAAGAGAAGAAAATAAAAAGAAGAGGGAAAAAATCAGCACAACCAGTAAATGTACAACCAAACATATGTAATATGCAATACCTACGGACCTCCCACCTCTATAAGGGGTGGGTTGGGGAGTTGCAATGCACTTTACAAATATATTTTCTCACTTGATCCTCACAATAATCTTGGAAGGTAGGTGCGATTATTCTAATTTTATAGTTGAAGAAATGGAGACAGGTGAAGTGACTTGCCTAAGATCATATGGCGAGTAAGTATCTGAGGATTTGAACTCAGTTCTTGAGTCCAGATTTAGTGCTTAGAATTAGGATTATGTCCAGTCACAAAATAAAAATGAAACTAAAAGGTTCAACATTTTATTTATTTTTTAAAATAGATAATATTTTGGTTTTCCCTAATTACACATTAAAACAATTTAAAAACTTGTTCTTGAAAGTTTTAAGTTCCAAATTGTGTCCCTCCCTCCCTTCCCTCCCCCCATCCTGAGACAGTAAGCAATGAGACATAGGTTATACATGTGAAATCTTGTAAAACTTTTCCGTATTAGTCATTTTGTATAAGAAGATTAAATAAAGAAAAAAGAATGAAAAAAAGAAAGTGGTAAATAGCATGCTTCAATCTATATTCAGACAATATCAGTTCTTCCTCTGGAGGCGGATAGTTTGCTTTATTATTAGTCCTTTGGGATTGTCTTGGATTATTGTATTACTGAGAATAGCTAAGTTTTTCATAGTTCTTCATTGTACAATATTGCTTTTACTGTGTACAATGTTTCTCCTGGTTCTGCTTGCTTCACTTTGCATCAGTTCATGTAACTCTTTCCAGGTTTTTTTGAAATCATCTTGCTTGTCATTCCTTATAGCACAATAATATTCCATCATAAGTAGATACTACAGCTTGATTTCCAATTCTTAGCTGCAGCAAAAGGAGCTGCTATAAGTATTTTTTTCTTTTTTGGCTAGGCAATGGGGTTAAGTGACTTGCCCAGGGTCACACAGCTAGTGAGTGTTTTGTGTCTGAGGCCAGATTTGAACTCAGGTCCTTCTGAATCCAGGGCCAGTGCTCTATGCACTGCACCACCTAGCTGCCCCCTGCTATAAGTATTTTTGTACAAATAGGTCCTTTCCCCCTTTTTAGGAAATTTTAAAAATAAGAGCTATTAAAAGATTTATTAGAAAAGATAAATGTTGGGGCAGCTAGATGGTACACTGGCTAGAGTACCAGCCCTGGAGTCAGGAGGACCTGAGTTCAAATCTGGTCTCAGACCAGACACTTGACACTTTCTAGCAGTGTGATTCTGGGCAAGTCACTTAACCCCAATTGACTTGCTGAAAAAAAAAAAGATAAATCTTTTATTAAAAAGATTTCTCAGGATAATGACAAACAACTGTTTTCTTTCACATATTCACTCTTATATTTTTAGCAATTAGAATAAGCATTTATAAAGACAGACAAATAGCAATTTTGAATTTTGTATGATCATTTCTACCAGGATTTTGTGTAACTACCATCTTCAAGTCAGAGCAATGTTCTGGAATACCATATTCCATCAGTTTATGTACTCTTGGCATTCCTGAGAGAGCTGTCTTCTGTATCTTTGGAAAAAGAAAAGAAATATTTATTAATTCTCTGTATTCAGATTCTTAGTACCTTATCCAGAAGACACAAGAAATTGCTCCTATTTTTTGCTCTTTGAGATGCTGGGTTAGAAGGTCAAATTTCTACTCATTTGAAAGAAATATCTTGTAATAGGGAAGAGAGTATTTTTAAGTGTAGTCACTAGTGTAGAAGTAGCTTTGTTATCATATCTATCTTTTCCAAGGCACCAGGTTTAATAAAAAGCCTAAGTAGATGGCCTCAGAGTAATCTCCAGTGCTGTGTGTATTCATTCATTCATTCATTCATTCATTCATCATTCATTCATTCATCATTCATCCATCCATAATTTAATTTATTCATCATTTACTAAATCCCTACTATTTCTTGGTCCTTCAAAACTAACTTTACCTTCCTGGAAGGGTATTCTTAGTGGTGACAATATATACAATTATATATACAAGGTTTAAATTATAAAGAATGGTTCACAAGAGGGCCTGCTTTTCATCTCCCTTTTCAATTCCAAAGCTCTTCTCCCTGGGACTGGTACTCCAGATGAAGGTTTGCAAATGAAAGATACTAAAATAAAGACTTGAAAATTAATTTTTTAAAAAATATGGGACATTGTACTTAGAACCCAAATCCTCACAGTCTTATCTAACATGTGTACCATTTCTCTGGAGCCATGAAGGAACAGATTTCAGTGCTCATACTGCTTCGGTCTAGTTCAGGCAAATATATTTCTGCAACTACACAGTTGTTGGAACCAGGCATCACATCCACTTCAACCTTGTCATTGGTGCCTTCATATACCTTTTGTTTCTTCATAAAAAGGGGACAAAGTAGACAGTAATGTGGATTTCACAAAGATGTTATTCACTATCGTTCCAATAAAATCAGATCTATTATACATGGAGATTAAAAGGACACATGAAATTCACACTCATACAAGAATTTAAAAAAAACACAGGAAAGAGGAAATAATTGGATAAAGTCATTGATGGGAGATGGGAAAAATCCTAGGGAAAATGCCTTTCCTTGCCAAACTCTCAATGTTGAGATATGGAAGTTGCCCAAGGATTTGATGTGTGAATGGCTCAGAGAAAATATCCAAAAAATTTACTCTGAAATCTAGAAGTCTTTGGAATTTGATTTGATTTAGGATAATAGGATTTAGAGCTAGAGGGAATTTAGAAATTATCTGGTTCCAACAAGAACCTACTCCTTCCCCCCATATCATATGGAGAAAATGAAGAAATTCACAAAGAAGTCGTTATTACTGAGTCATGCACTAGATTAGATCTTTTTCTTGGTAATCTTGATGGTGTTGAATTGGAGAAAGGAAGGAGAAGGAAGTCATTTGAATGCTTTATGTTTCTTTATCTGAGGGGAAAGGTCAAAACTTACACATACATTCAACTTACCATGTCTAGGGAATTATTAGTTATAAATACTCTGTATACTAGTTCATAATAATCCTGTATTGATATGTTTCTTCCTTTTTTTCCTTTATAGGGTGAATCTGGAGCATGAAGTGTCAACTGTATTGATTTGTTGTTTTGTATCACACTGATAGATACAGGTCCTATTTTTGCTAGAGAAAGAAAAGGAAAATTAGGATATTAGAAAAAAAAACCAGTATATTCACTAGACCTAATTACTTCATTTGGCCAAATTATAAACAATGATCAATTATTATCAAACTCTTGAGAATAGGATTCACAGGTAGCAGACATGGACATCACTTCAACAGTAATAGGGATGGCTAATGATTCTGCTGGTGAGGAGGCTTTGATAGTTCTTATTTCAAAATTACCCAAAAAGCATTTTCTGCTCATCATAGACTTGTTTTCAGAAAATGTGACTTTCGAAACAAAACAAAATAAATAAAACCTCAAAACCTTAAAAGTCAAGATGAGAGAAATCTGGACCAGTTCCAAAAGTTGCAAAATTGCAAAATAAGCTCCTCCCCTATTATTCCCCTCCCCTAAAGACTCCTGAGTACCCTTCAAATTGTCTTTCAAAGGGACAATTCTGTGTCCTTTGTAATGCTGTGGGAAGAAAGAGAAAGACCTTTGGCTTTAGAATTTAAAAAAAGTTTCTAAATTAAGGACTGGTTACAATGTTCTGGGCACTGTACTAGACACTAGTGATACAAAGACAATGATCAAAACATTCCCTTCCCTCAAGGAGGCTATAGTCTGTGAAGTGTATATATACATACATACATATATATATATATATACATACATACATATATATATATATATACACACACACACACACATACACACATATACATAATCATATATATACACACACATAAATAAAACCCAAAATATATACCAAGTATATACAATCTAATGAGAATTGACACTAGACATTGGGAGAACAAGAAAAGCCTTTTGTGTGTCTATAGGAGATGGAGCTTGAGCTGAACTTTGAAGGGATTCCAAGGCATAAAGTTGAAGGGCCAGGAGGGTATTTCTGGCATGGGGTAACTGCCTGTGCAAAAGAATGGAGATGAGAGATGGAGTGTTAGGTATGAGGAAGTAAAAAAGGGTTATTCTGGCTGTACCACAGAGTTCATGGACATCTGAGTGGAGCAGTGGATAGAGTGATGGGCCTGGAATCAGGAAGACCTGAGTTCAAATCTTGCCTCAAACCCTTGATAACTGTGTGACCTAGGCAAATCACTTCACCTTGTTTGCCTCAGTTTCCTGATCTATAAAATGAGCTGGAGAAGAAAATGATAAACCACACTTGTATCTTTGCCAAGACAATCCCAAATGGGGTCATGAAGAGTCAGATACAATGGAACAACACCAAAACAAGAACAGAGTTCATGGAAAGAAGTAATGTATAATAAGCCTGGAAAGGGTGGTCAGATCCAGATTGTGAAAGGCTTTAAATACCAAGCAAAATAATTTATATTTCATCCAATGTGGCTTGGTCTGACATGTTCTAGGAGTATCACTACAGCAGCTGCACGGAGGATGACCTAGAGAGGGCAGAGATGAGAGAGGGACATTGGTTTGGAGGTTATCGCAGAACTCTGGGGGAGAGGCAAGGTCAGAACCTGAACCAGGCTGGTGGCCAGGTGAGGTGAGAGAGAGGTCTAGATTCCAGACCTAAAGAGGGAGAAACTGACAAGACCTGATAACAGCTGATACATGTGAGGTGACAATAAGTGAGGAAGTTGATGATGATTAACTATGGTTTCTTACTTGACTTACATCCTCAGATCACTGAGGCCTAAGAGTCCATAATAACCATAGAACTAGATAGGATTCAATATGGTTGACATCTCAGCCCTGCACAAGAGAGGGCTCTTGATCCCAGTAAACTGATTAATCTTCTTGCCTGCCATGGAATTATAAGAGCTAAAAGGGACCTGAGAGGTTAGTCTAATCCCTACATTTCATTGTTGTTCTTGTTCAGTCATTTTTCAGTCATGTCCAACTCTTTGTGATCCCACTTGGGGTTTTCTTGGCAAAGATACTGGAATGGTTTGCCGTTTCCTTCTCCAGCTCATTTTACAAATGAGGAAACTGAGGCAAACAGGGTTAAGTGACTTGCCCAGGGTCACAGAGTTAGTGTTTGAGGCCAGATTTGAACTCAAGAAGAAGAATCTCCCTGATTCTGAGCCCAGATCCTTGAGAAAAACACACATTCTTAACATACACTTATCAGTGTACTTTCTGTATACTCCCAGTAAAATATAACGTCCCCCATTCACTTTGACAAGCTTCTCGTAACCCAGAGAGGAACATGTACCCCAGATTGGGAACTCTGTTCTATTTCTGTCCTCCAATGAAAAGATTCTTTTTTTTTTCTAGTGACCTATCATTTTGTTTATATTTTCCTTTTTTATTTCCAAATGGTTGAGTTTCACCATCTTATTCTAAGATGTCTAAGCCATAATCAGTTCCTCTTTAGTTCATCTGTCGATAGTTTTGCCAAGTTCATTTCTTCCTTTAATTCCTTCAGAGTGGTTATATTTTAGTATGTTTCAAAAAATTCTAATTTTTTTATATGGGAAAGAAATCTCATAAACTTGGTGGAAACTTCTATAATTAGAGTTTATGTTTCCTCTCTATCATTTCATACCAAAGGGAAAATTGATAAACAGAAATGTGGAAAATAAAGGCACAGCTGTATATGCCAGTTATAAACAAGTTTCCTACATTAGTCAAAGAGTCCACAGTGGAGCTGCAGTAGGCAGATTCAAGGATGGGTGACTTACCAAGGTATACATATATTTAGTAGAGAGGAGAGGCCTTCTTTAATATAGACATTAGGTTGTTATAACTTTGAGAGAGTTCTAAAATGAAATTTAAAAGTTTTAGGAGGTAGAACTGTTTGTAAGAAGACCAATAAGAAAAGATAGGTACAAATATTGTGTTTCATGAGTTTGACTATATCAGTTTGATTATAATCAAATGTACTATTAATGATATACTAGATAAATAAATGTTATGATATAAAAAGTGTTGGTCTTTGTTCTAAGCACTCTGCCTTGAGAAGGGCAAATAGTTGCATTGAATTAAGAAGATGGGTATCTAATAAAGCAAGTTTCAAATACAAAAAAAAATTATAGTTTTTTTTTCTTGGTGTTAAAATTTTGAGTCCATTTTTCTTTCGGTGCTTTTGCAGCTTCGTGGCACAGTGCATAGAGCACTGGGCCTGGAGTCAGAAAGGCCTGAGTTTAAATCCAGCCTCAGACACTTACTAGCTGTGTGATCCTGAGCATCCATGTAACTTAAACTCTGCCTGCCTCAGTTTCCTCAGTTGTAAAATGGAGATATTAATAGTACCAACCTTCCAGGATTGTTGTGATATTTATAAGAAGAGATAATATTTATACATCTCCATGCACAGTGCCTAGCACATAGTAGATGTTTAACAAATGTTTGTTTCCTTCCACAAAGCTGCAGAAATAACAACAGGCATAGAGTATCCAACAGACTTACTTTCCCACCAGGGGATAAACCTCTTTGTGATGCTCCAGTCACCATGGATGCCAGCAGAGGCAGCTTTCACCCTTCCATAATAAGGTTCTTGTACATCTGAGGTTTCATTTGTCAGGTCACAGGAGAGTTCATAAATGCCCCAGCATTCCTCTTTGTTTGTCCATTTTTTCTGTCCATAACTATAGAAGAGAGAGGGAAATCATCAACAACAACAACAACCCTGAAGACCTAGATGGTTTATTTTTTTTCTTTTCTAGATAACTGCTGTTTTCCCCTGGCTAGTTGAAGTCATTTTGCAAATGCAGCAGCAGTTCCAGACGATTCTTAAGGTTTCCACCTGTTCTTCAGTTTTGCTGGGCTGCTAAATCAACCCTGGTCCACTGAGAGGTCACTTGGGCTTCTGTTTTTAAGGTTTGGGGCCCTTGAGATGCAATGGAAGAAATGCTGGCTTTGGAGCCTAGCATCGGGGTTCAAATTTCTGGCACTGTTATTAGTGATCTCTAATCTTGTGCAAGTTGTTTAATCTCTCTCAGTCTCGGTTTCCTCCTCTGCAAAATGAGTGTTTTGAACAAAAGAACCTTTAGCTCCCTTCCAGCTCAAAATTTGTGATATATCAGCTGCAAGAAAGAATTTACTAGCTCTTTGTTGAGGGGCAGGGAAAAGGAAAGGGAAAAGAAGAGAAAAGGATAAACATTTACATAGTGACTACTACGTGCCAAGCACTGTGTTAAATACTTAAAAAATATTATATCATTGAATCCTCACAACAACCCTGGGAGGTAGGTGAAGTTATCCCTATTTTATAGGTGAGGTTAAGTGACATACTGAGGGTCACATAGCTAGTAAATGTGTGAGGTCAGATTTGAACTCAGGTCTTCCAGGCTCCAGGCCCAACTCTTTATCCACTGTGCCAACTTTTGTTGTCCAGTTGTTTCAGTCATGTCCCAATCTTCATAACTTGATTTGAGGTTTTCTTGGCAAAGATACTACACTGTTTTGCTATTTCCTTCTCCAGCTCATTTTACAGGGAAGCAAACTGAAGCATACAAGATTAAGTGACTTCCCAGTCACACGGTGCTATTGTCTGAGGACAGATTTGAACTCAGGAAGATGACACTTTCTGACTTCAGGCCTGGTGCCCTATCCACCATACCAGCGAGCTGCTTAATATGCTGCCCAGCTGCCTCATTTAGGTAGGGATATGATAAGTGAAGAGAATAGAGAAAGGTAAATGTCTTTTCTCCAATTTGTTAATACTTCAAGGACCAACTGTTTTGTTGCTATTCATACTCTGTCCTCTGATGTGGATAACAACTCCTCTGGATCTATTTAGGTGGTCTTCAGGAAATGCTATAACCAAATATTGTCCCATAGCTAGTCTAGAAATTAGCCTCTCCTCCAAAGGTAGCTAGGTTGGTCCTTGGACAGCAGATAGACTCTCTCTCATGGGGCTGACAGGAAAATCAATTTTCCTGTTATTATAAATGCCAAGTCCTAAAATAAATCAATCTCATAAGTGGAGGAAAAGGTATCTTTAATCAAGATAAAAAAAGTTCTCAAGCCTGGGACACTTCTATGCATCTGAGTACATAGGTGTCCACCAAGAAAACTCTTAGAAAGGTTTTTATACATTCAGGAGAAAAAAGGGGGGTGGGAGTGGGGTGAGAAGAAGGGTCATATGAGGATCAAAGCCTGGTCATAAGCTTCCAGCTACTTTTGGCAATCTGACCAAGAAAACCCACTTCATTTTGGTTGTCTCTACCCTTCATGATTCTACTTGCCCCAAATGAAGGGGCAATGACACTTGGAGCCATTTTCAGTGGCTGTGGCTAGCACCACTTGGTTCTGTTTCAGGATAAACAGAGCTAAAGATCCCAAGGGTGGAGCATACTCCAAATTTAATTGGGAGTAAAGTGCTTTAAAAGAAGGAATGGAATGACATTCCTAGGATTCTTTAGAGGGAGGGGCTTCTCTTACTTTCTATGGCCTTTGGACTAGGAAGGGAATATCACATTTTATATTAACAATATTAAAATTATTTTTTATCCTGTCAAGGTCCAAATGCACCCCATTGGGCAGCTTGGTGTGTGACCCTAGGCAAGTCACTTAACCCTGCTTGCCTCAGTTTCCTTATCTGTAAAATGAACTGGAGGAAGAAATGGCAAACCATTTGAGTATCTTTGCCAAGAAAATTCCAAATGTTCTCATGAAGAGTTGGACACTACTGAAACAACTCAGCAGCAACAACTGTCTCACAGAGCTTGGCTTTTTTGCTGGCACAACTTTTGAGAAACCCGGTGTCATCCTAACACTACCATAAGCCATCAAAATTGAACTGTGGTAAGAGAATAGAGAAAAAGGTAGCATGGATCTAGTTTCTCAAAATGGGCAGTGTCTTTCAAAATGCAGAGTTGCTGTATACCTTTTCAGGCAGTCTGTGAAGTCAAGACTACAGCTCTGCCTTATTTAAATCTAATTCACCTGCAAGTGAAGACATATTCATCACCCACTATTTTACCCCAACATTGTGATGTCATTGACTGTCTTTGAAACTGAAGGATAATCAACAATTTTCCTAAAAGTGGTAAGACATTTTAATTTCTAGCATGGTAAATATCAATAGATATAGCTCACATAAACAAAAGCTCTTTGGTGGGAAGAGAACTTCAATAATTTTAAGAGTATTAACAGGTCCTGAGACCAAAACTTTTGAGAAACATTGGTCTAGAGTATAGCAAGTGGTCTGGCTGACTGGAGGGGAAAAATGTACATTGGGGAGCAACCAGCTTAAAGACTTTGGATTTTATTCAGTGGTCAATCAGATGTTGAAGGTTTTTGAATATGTGTGTTACTGTTTTTAAGGAAGGGTAGTTTGATAGTGGTAGCAAGATGGATTGGAAGAAGTGACTGTAGGTAGGGGATCCAGTTCTAAGACTGTTGGCAGTAAATAACTCATAAGGGAAGTAGTGAGGACTTACAGTAGCATGAAAGCAGTAGGAATGATAAGTAAGACACAGCCCAGGAGGAAAACATGGATGCACATCATTGCTGTGGCTCTAAGTTCTGCTCCAAAGTATTTTGATATTTCAAGGGGTTTCACTGATGTATTGACTCCTTACAACTAGAGGTATATGGAACTGTATATTGTAAGAAAGGAAAATTTCAGTACTATTGTGTTGTCTATTGTGTTTAATCTGAATTTTGTTGCCATTTAATGTTGGGAGGTTTTTAACTAAAATTTTTAATGAACAGAAATTTATTTCTCACTTCTACCCCCCACGCCTTTAGAAGAAAAAAAAGAAACAAATTCTGTGCAACAAATATGCATAATCAAGCAAAACAAATTTCATTGTCTGCAGGTAAGAGTTTTCTTGGTGGACACCTCTATACTAATGAAAGTGATTTATTCAGCTATTTCCTAATTGATGGATATCTTCTTTGTTTCCAGTTTTTTGCTAACACAAAAAGAGCTGCTATAATTAATTTTGTACACATGTGACCCTTTCTTCAAAGGGTCAGGAGTTCTTAACCTGGGGTCTATGACCTTGTTTTATTAAGTTTTTGATAACCATATTTCAACATATTGGGTTTTCTTTATGATCCTATGTATTTTATTTTATGCATGTAAAAATATTATTCTGAGAGGGGATCCATAGGTTTTACCAGACAGCCAAAGGTATTTATGACATGAATTTAGGTTATGAGTCCCTAGGTTACAGGAAATGATGATAAGCAATGAGGTTTTTAAAAATACATTTTTGCCATCTCTGAAACCAGATTGTTTTGCATTTTATAGGCCTGAGAGTGAGAAGTAGGTTTAGGGGGTTTCTAAGTTTGAATTACTTCCATAAGGCAGGCTGGAAAATGTCCATGATTCCATAATCTCTAGGGGAATTTCCAAGCCACTACGCCTCCTCCTGTGTAATTCCTCCATCCCCTTTCCAGTGTAAAAACTAGAAGTTAGCCAGGGGCATGCTGGTAAATGTTTAACAACTGGTTCTCAGAAAAAGAAAAGCACATTTATCACCTTTTAAGTTTAGTCTGTACCATTAACATTTTTCTCTATCACTTTCTTACATCTAAGCTATCAACAAAACACTAAACCAGATTGGTAACTTTTGCTGATTTCTGAGGTGTAAGTGCTTACCGTGAATATTTAACAATCAGCTATTGTGGGCCATTTTGAAGTTCTCACACACCTTTGGAACAGGCAGTCAAGCCAAGTCCATTACCCCGTGAGGCACAATAACTGTTCATATTTGTGTGAGATTTCCAATGACTATGGCGTTCACATAACTTATCTCTTTGACAACTACCCTGTGAAAGCTGACTTTTGTTTATGGTCTTGAGGTTTTATGGAAGTATTTGTCATCCCTTTCTTATTTGGTCCTCACAATAACCCTGTGAAACAGATAGTGCAAATGTTATTACTTCTGTTTTACAGAGGAAACTAAGGCTCAGACAGTGTCTTATCCAAGGTCAGAAGCCTGGGAAATCACAACGTTGAAATACGAACCCAAGTCTTCTGTGTCCAGTGGTCTTCAACTGGACCATAGTATGATGTGACTCATAGAGCTTACTGACTGACTGATGGCAGGGCTATTTCCTCTCTTTCTGACTTCAGTTTCATTCTACTTGGACTGAGGAAGGATTGTCTTAGGAAACTTGGGATTGGAGATTCAAAGTTCCAAAAGACCGTTAAGTCCAACCCTATCATTTTATAGATAAGAAAACTCGGGCCCTGAGAGATTAAATGATTTGCCCACAGTCACACAGGTAATAAATGATAAAGCTGAGTTTTGTAGCCACACTCTCTCTCTCCAAATCCATCATTATTTCCTTGGCACCACAGGAAAAGGAGTTTCCCAGGCAGGCAAAAGTTAGAAGGAATACTTACATTTTGTACTGCACAAAATAGACTGTGTTGTTGGGAGTGGAAGCACTTCCAGGATGCCAGTGTAAAATACTCTGGAGATTAAATGACTGAAATTCAATGCTCAGGGGCCCCAGAGATTCCTGTACTGGTAGGCTTCCTGGAACAAGAAGAGAAGGGAAAAAACAGTACTAAGAGAGAAGCCAGAAGTGGTTTGCCAGTATTTAAGGACCAGAGCTGGCTGTTTATTCTCTGAATGTGGTCCAAGACAAATTTCCCTTCTCAAAGAATTTTGTCTTTCACCCCTTTCCAAATAACACGATGTATGATATCACTAACAGGTATGTGGAAAACACAGGAAGTTACTACACTCAGGGTCCCCTGCTATTGCAGGCTAAATTTGACTTCAGGGCCTGTCCATGCTTCCTGACTGTCATTATTCTTCCTATTTGGAGTCTTTCCCCACTTATTTCCTTGTTCACGTGGAGTGTCTTCTCCTTGAACCCACTCTGATTTTTCCTGTCTGCATACTCATACATCACAAACATACAACCCCTCTATCCCTTAAATTCAGTGCCTTCTCATTGACCTGCTTAAATAGATCTAAAAATCTATTTTTTTTTTTACATGAGCATTTCCTAGCAGGAAGCAGAGGTAGAAGGAGACATAAGGTGATGATTATTCATCAGAATTATCACTGTGGCTGATCCTCAAAGCCTGAGGAAACTGGGTGGGTTGTGGTCACTTCTAGCAACACTGGCGTTTCTAACATTTTCAGCAAGTTTAGCAGTCGACCTACGTCAGCAAATTTCATTATAAGGATTGTTATGTACTTAGGCACTGTGATAACCTGTGGTTGTTGTTCTTTGTCCTTTGTTCTCAAAGAGGACCATGACATCAGGAAGGTGGTGTCATGACTTGTACTTGAATTGGATTTAAGTGAGGCAGGCCTGTGCAAAGCCTCACTTTCTCCTCCAGAGCCATCTGGTTTCAGTGGCAATATTTAGGTCAGGACCACTGGAGATGGGCCCCACTGTGCTAAGTGCTGAGGACACAAAGGGAGGCAGAAGACAGTCCCAGCTCCCGAGGAGCTCACAGTCTAACAGAGGACAGAATATGCGACAACCATGCATAAACAAGATTGATGCTGTGATTGTTCAGTCATTTCTCCAGTCCTGTCAGACTCTTTATGATTCCATTTGGGGTTTTCTTGGCAAAAATACTGGAGCAGTTTGCCATTTTCTGCTCCAGTTCATTTGACAGATGACAAAACTGAGGCAAACAGGGGTAAGTGACTTGTCCAGGGTCACACAGCTAATAAGTGTCTGAGTTCAAATTTGAACTCAGATCTTTCTGACTCTTGGCCTAGTTCTTTATTTGTTATTACCATCCTTATACATGAGATAATTAAAAACAGGGAAGTGACTGGCATTGAGGGGTAGTAATAGGTTATTGCTAATTTGTTATTTTGGTCATATTTTAATTGGCAGATGGAATGAAGCTTGTGGACTAGCCCTGCTTCTTGATAGGGACCTAGACAATCCCTCTGTCCAAGTCTAGACATGTAGGTGACATAGGACTTGAAGTCAAGAAGACTTTAATTCAAATCCTGCGCCTGACACTTTGTAGCTATGTGACCCTGGCCAGTCATTTAACTTCTCTGTGTCTCAGTTTCCTCATCTGTAACCTAGGGATAATAATAGCACCTACCTGTCAGGGTGATTGCGAGGCTCAAATGAATTAACACATGTAAAGCATTTTGCAAACCTTAAAGATCTATATAAATGCTAGTATCATCATCTTCCCCAGTGTCAGTGTGCCTGCTTGCAAATTAGCTCTGGCAAATGGAAAGCTAGCAGGTACAGTAACAGGCCTGAAGGCATAATGGCTAGGATGCTAGATGTGGTGTTGGAAAGAAATGGGTTCAAATACTGCTTCAAATCCTTCCTACTTTTTGGCAAATCATTTACCATTCTAAGTCCAATTCCTCTTCCTGTTCCCTGTAAAATGGGGAGTGAGGAGTCCAGGATGACACCTAGGTTATGAACCTGGGTGACTGGGAGGATAGTGTGGTGACCTAGACAGTAAATACAGGAGAAAAGAAAAAGGGAGAGTGGTGGTGGTGGTGGGGGGCAGATAATAAGCTGTTTCTAAAGGTGAATGAACATAATTGGTAAGAAGCAGAAAGTAGCCTTAGACTTGCTCACTGCCCTTGATTTTTCCATTAAATCTGCTCAAAGCAGTGTCTGTCATGATGGAAGCTTGAGCAGATGATATCCCATCCAGAAAAAAGAAGATTTAGTATCCTACTCTCCTGAACTTCTACTCACCTCTCTCCTTCACCCATTAGAATGTAAACTCCTTGAAGTAATGGATGCTGCCATGATTTATCTTTGCATATCCAGTGCTTAATAGAGTTCCCTGCACATAATAGGGGCTTAATAATTTTTTAGAAAAACAAATTAATTAAATACTGATATCTGTCAACAACATTTCTCTTTGTAGTTTTAACTCCTCTAGGATCAAACAGAATAAATGTTGAAGGGAAATCCTCTTAGGTACAAACTGAGGATTACAAATTATCAGGCAGCATTATCCTTTGGCCTTCACTTTTCTACAATGCCTAACATGTTGTTGTTGTCCAGTCATTTCAATCATGTCTAACTCTTCATGACTCTGGCGTTTGATAAAAAATGATCCTTTTTATTTTTTATTGCTCCTTCTTTCATGTTAAAAGATAATACAGCTCTTGGGAAAGAATCTGTGACCAAAAGCAAGGATTATTATCTTACCTCGGTGCATCAAAAGATGAGAACTATTTATAACAGGTAATAAGCCAAAAGTTTCTCAGGGAAAAACAGAGCTCATTTATCATGGACACTTGGAGAAATGGGTCACCTAGAGGTGAAAAGGGCCTTGGTCCTTTAACATCACCTAAGCCATTCAATTCTCCTCTTTCATGACTTGACCCTCTCCTCACTACACACACTTGCACACACAAATAAGACACTCCAAAGAGTTAGAGCATCAGCAAAGACTCAACCTCAGCTTCCTCATATATAAAATGGGGCTACTAGTATTATAAGTCTACACTGTACTTATGGGATACTCAGGTAAGGCAGTGACAATGCTTCGAGAGAAGAAGAAAAAAATCATTTTAAAATGCAAAATTATAAGACATATAGATAATAAACATCTAGATGAAATTTCCTATTTTGATGCAACTCAATTTATTGTCTACCCTGAAACATATTAAGATATAGAGACACATATAGAGACAAAAGAAAAGAGCCAGTGCTATTTCCGGAGTATCTTGATCACTCAGTTTACAAAAAGAAAAAAAGGACCCCTAATAACAAATTTTAAAAAATTAGAACTTACCTCCTCCATAAATCCAGAAGAAGTTGATAAGAAAGCTTATAAAGCAATGTTTCAGCATCATGGTCAGACTATGACTATGAGAAACAAATATTCCACTCCACAAAAAGACAGCTACAACCTACCCAGTTCTATAAGTAGGTTGAAAAAAGGAAGTGATACCTATGTTTTCAGCTCTTCCTTTTGCAAGGTACAAGGAACAGTCTCTTTTGTGAAAAAATGATTTATCTTGGTAATCAGTGTCTTGGAGATTCAGAATGCCCACCTGCCAGCCTTCTGACCAAAGTTCTTCAGAAGAACATCTCTGATAATGAGATTGCATTGACTCTTATCTTGGTCAAACTCCAACTCAAGCTTGAATTGATTTTATTCTACTTAGGTTTGGATGAAGACAGACTCCCATATTTCCTTTGATGGCAGGAGATATCAAGCCCTGTGGACCGAGTGATCTAAGGCACATACTCAAGACCTCATTTTAATATAACCCACCTCCTAGTATTTCAATCAATCACGGCCAGTTGGCACCCCTTGGGAATACCTGCTTTTGAAGAGCGTATAAGGCTGTACCCCCAAATCCCAAATTTAGCCAATTTTCTACTGAACTACCATGCAACGCATGTCAAGCCATCTTGAAAGAAATTAAACCATGGACACACATACCCTGATTTTGTTTGTCTCTTAGAGTGGACTTTGTTTCAAATTGGGGTTCGTGGGGTTTGGAGTTCACATTAATGGTGCCATGATTCAGATTTGGACTAGGATTTTTGGGGTATACTCTTTTTCACCCCAACAGAGCTAGTACTGGGCACCCACAGGACTTTCTCAAGTCCCAGCCCTGAAGGATGGGTAAGACTTATCCCCAAAATTCCAGGTACTTATCTATTGGGCTTTCCATTTTAGATTGTAGTCTGTTTTCTTTTGTCTCCAAATGGCTCTGTTGTGATTTGAGAGGTTCAGGGACCCCTCAAGGACTGAAGTACAGGGCTGGGTCATCTGGAATGAATTCATGGCTCAAGCAATCTTTAAGTCAAGTTAGCAAAAGTTTATTGTTATGCTTTTCAGCTGGCAGAAGTTTTTTTTTTTTTGGTGAGGCAATTGGGGTTAAGTGACTTGCCCAGGGTCACACAGCCTAAGGAACTTCTAAGGTCTATAATTAGAGAAAGAACACTGGGAAAGAACTCCCACCTTAGGCTTTCAGTGGGAGATTAAGATTTTTTTTGGGGGGGGGTTCCAACCTGGCCAGGTTAGGATACCAGAATAAAGTTAGATAACGAGTAATGGAATCAAAAAGCAGGGAGAGATAGCAATCTTTACTGATAAAGTTCTAGAGCGTGCAGCCCAAGACAGCAAGGGCTCAGAGAGGAAAAAGCTAAGGGTTTGAATTGAGGCTTAATCAGATCTCAAAGCTAGAGTTTGTGCTGTATATATCTGCTATCAAGGCAATGTGTTTAAAACTGCAAAAATAAGGGTTTGTCTGGTCTTTTAAGCATTATAAAAGCTATTTGTGAAAAGTCTGGGAGAAATACAACTTGATTGATTTGTAAATCCTTAGGTGGTAACTCTCTTCAGATTCTAACAGGTGAAAAGAAGCAGGACTGAAAGTGGAGTGAGTTTTTGTTTTTTTTTTAAATTTGGAATGTAAAGGAAAGTGAAGGTAGTCTGAGTAATGGGCTTGAACGATTAGGAAGGAGGAATAAAAGTTTGAGTGAAAATATGATGGGTAGAGAAAAAACGGTTTGAGAATAGATGGGAATGGGGTGGTCTGCAGCAAGCCCACATGCTCTAAGCCCCCATCTTTGGATGGTTGTTCTGGGTGCCTTTGTGTCAGCTTTAGATCACGGTGTGAGGAAGTTTGATTTCGTTTTAAGTAGAAAGGTCGAAAAAAAATTTTTGTAGCTTGATTTGAAAACCAATAAAGTTATAGAGGGTTAGAAGACCACCCACTTTTCAGCCTAAACCTGTAGGAAAACCTTATTAAATCTAACCTTACACAAATATTGGCTATGGTAAAGATATTGATTATTGTGATTTGAGATTATTATATAAAATCTTAAAGTGTTTCCCTGTCTGCCTGGGGGAAACTGACCACACTCTGTCAGCATTGATTCAAATTCCTCAGATATCTTTGCTTGAGCCAAACTCTTAGCTAACCTGAATGCTTACAGGTGATTTTAAACTGTTTGTAAAACTTATATACATCAGCCTGAAACTCCCAGGAGGATGAAATGCTTAGGGTAGCTTTTTTTATCTGATAAGCCTCAAAAACAGAGACAGGATTTGAGCTCTCTTAAGGAAGTAGAGAAAAAAAAAGGGGGGGGAGCTATTCAGAGGTAGGAATCTATAGCCATGTGTCTTTTTTTTTTTTTAAGGGAATATATGAATTTGTGGATATTTCCTTTTAAAGGGCCAAGACTATTGGAAAAATTTTTAAATGTTTATCATTAGCGATTACAAATCCAGATTTGATTTGATTTAAGTCTATTTACCTCAGTTTACTGTTCTGTAAGGGAATAATAGTGGAACCCACTTCCCAGGGATTTGCAAGGATCACATGATTGTACAATGACTGGCATATGCTAGATATGACATTATTATTATTTCTCTAATTTAATGTAATTTTTACATACCTGATAACTTTAAAGTAGTTTTAAAGTACCAAAAGTAATAAGACCAATAATTTCTATATGTGATATGTGATAATCTAAAAATGCAATAAATATCATATGAAGTTTATTGTTTGTATTTCTAAATTGTATTGTAGTTCTAAAATTCTCTTAGATTGTAAAATTTGAGAGACCATTGTGAGGTACAAATGGTGCTAAAGCAATTTTAATCTCAATTTGTTTCATATGAATTGGGCCTTAAAAAAAAAAGGATGTCAAAAAACTTTTTGCAAACTGTTAACATTTAATGAAGTATATTTGGTTATAAATAAGTAATAATAATAATACTGATATTTACTATGAGCAGATTTTTCATTTGAAATCTTGGCTATTATGAAAATGTATAAAGTGGTTTCAGATTGTAGTTTCAACGTATTAATGATGAGATGAATGATTCTCTGTGCAAGGTGATTTAGAAATGCATTTACCTAAATTGATAATGGGTTGTTCAAGTTTTAAATACATTATAATGTGTAGGGTATTGTTACATTTCTAAGTTGTGCAATTTGGTAAACAATTGTATCACCTATGTTGTTAGAAAAGCAATTGCTCTTATGATGCAGATGTTGTTAGATTAAGAATTGTACTGTCAAAAAAAAAGAATGGGTTAGGAAGTTGTTAGGTCATTCTATCTGACCATTTTGAAATACTGTAATTTAAGAAATCATAAACTTTTAAGTTTTATCTATATTTGGCAGGAAGTTTCAGCTAAAATTATTTGGTTCTCGCTTATGAAATTTGAGATTGTTAGCTAAGCTATTTAGAGTTATGTTTAAATCAAATATTTGTAAAGGTATTTTTGTGAAAGGAAACTTGGTAATTGGGCAAGAAAGGACCTTACAAAATCTTCTTATAATTAATTTAGTTTGTTATAGTAACAGGATAATTGTAATCTGTTTTTAAGAAAGGGAAATACTTTTATGAAGAAATGTTTTGCAAAATCTTCTGTGTGATTTTTAAAAGGCCTACTAAATTTCCATTTGCAAGCTAATTTGTTGCAAGTAATAATTTCATATTGATGACAATTATGTCCAAACCTACTGTGAATTTTGAGTTTCATTCCTCGCTTTCTTGTATCTTTGGACTGTCCTTAATGGTTGGTTTGAGAGAAACAGTCTGAGACAGCAGCTCAATGGGAGCAGCATCAGAGGTATTAATTACTACGAGTTGGAAGTTAGGAAGATCTTGCAGTTTTGATCTGAATTAATTCCCTGGCCTACCAAGGGTTAAAATTAGTGTTTGTACTTATCACATGTATAAGATTCAATTCCTGAAGTGTCTCATTCTTTCAGATTAAGTATGATTAGAGAAGGATAAATAAGCTTGAGAAAGACATGCAAATCTATTAGAGTAGTAACTTATGATCTTAATGGAAATTTGATTTTACTCATGATGTTATTTAATCAGGAACTAGAACATGTGTAGGAGTGCATGCAAACTATTTAAGGCTCACCTTAAAGATGTTCCCTAACCAATGTGAGATTATAGTCATTTCTGAAACTTTGATTATTTGGAACTTGCTATTCAAGACCTTATGAAACTGTTATTCTGAGTCTGACTCCAGGTACGGTTATTAAACAATGCTATTGAACCACTAATCCATGATGTCAGCAACCCTGTGGGATCCATGAACTGCATCTATGAACTGCAGAGGGTGGTCTTATGGGAAGGTCCGAAGAATGACTACTCTGCATGAGCTGAGGTAGGATTCTCCTGACTCAATTTCCCTACTATGACTTAAGCCTGGCTCAATGCAGTTGGCCATCTGCATCACTTTTGCTTTGGATTGACATGAAGTTAGGGAAATATTGTTCCCTTTCTGTTATGTCCCTATTTTTTTATGGCAAATTTCTATAATCAAAAGTTTTATAAGCACAATATTAAATCTATTATATAATAGATTGATGCTGGAATATCTGAAGTTACCATAGTAAGATGCAAGCATAAGATTGAGCTATTTGGCCTAGAATTTTAGAATTAAGTGTTTAGCCTTGACATCTGTTACTAGTATATTCTTGTATAAGTTAGGGTCCTTTAATTCATCATAACGGTATGGGGATAATTAGGCCAAGGATTAGTGAAACCAGGATATTATTCTGTTACTTAGTTAATAGTTAATATCTTACCTGTCTCATTTTGTTACAATTAGTTAATGTTAAAAGAAGAATGGCTTGTGGTCTATCTTGTAAATGCTTTAGAGGAAGCATCCACTTTAATTAGGGGTTATTTATTTGAACATGACCAGAAGTTGGAATTGTTTTATTGATACGTACTGTTTTTAAATTGATCACTCAATGTATTAAATAAAAAGCGTTGCTATTAATTCCGTATTGGAATCTCCCTCCTGTTGGGGAGATGAATGTGAAGTATAAAAACTAGGTTCTAGGGACAGCTAAGCGGTGCAGAGGATAAAGCTCCAGCCTTAGAGTCAAGGGGATCTGAGTTCAAATTTGGCTCCAGACA